ACCCAAAAGAATTCAAGAGCAGAGTTCCAAATAAGTAGATCAATATTCATAACAGCACTATCACAACAACAAAAACGTAGAGCTAGTTCAAATATTTATCAATGGATGGCTGGTCTCACAAAATTTTGATATACCAGCAGAATAGAATATTATTGAGTTCATAAAAAAGAAATACTAGCACATTCATATAATTGGAATTTGAAGACATATTTAGAGAACCAGTCACAAAATGAAAATTACACAATTCCAATTGTAGGAGGTACCGAGGATAAGCAAATTCAAAGATACAGAAAGCTGAATGCAGGTTATCAAATGTTGGGCATGGGCAGCTTCAGGTAGGGGAAATAGGAAAATATTATTTAATGGCAATAGATTTTATATTTAGGGAGATGAAGATCCACGGAGAGATGATGCTGATGATTTTACACTGTGAGTGTACTTCATGCTACTGAATTATACTATTTAAATACTTAAAATGGTCAAATTTAGGTTGTGTTTATTTTATCATGATTTAGAGAAGGCCCCCAAAGGTAAAGGTAAAAAGGTAAAGGTCCTCCCGTTGATCATCGATTTGCTCGAGCGGGCCCAGTAACGTCTCCATTGTGAGACTTTGTTGTTACTGTGTTTGTCATATCGGATACGTCACGGGGAGCTTGCCAGGCTCTGCCATGCGGGCGAGATACTCTTGGTAGCTTGCCGGGCTCTCCGAGAGGGGCAGAGGAATCGAACTCGGGTCGGCCATGTTGGCTGCGTGCAAGGCAAACGCCTTACCGCTGTGCTATCGCTCCAGCCCATTTCTCCCAAATGAAAGGGATGAATGGTTCAGTGCTTGGGTCTGGTGATGTGATGCTACTTAGGGGACACTAGGACCACTTCACTTGTGCTTCCTGGCTTCGGGGCTATACCCAGTACTGTTCAAGAGCCATCAGGGCTAGGGATTAAACTCACAACCTCACACATGCCAGACACATGCTCCAGCTATTTTCTCTATATCCTTGGACCTTATGATTTTTGAAAAATAACTGGATGGGGGTTGGAGTGATAACTCAGTGGGATGAGTGCATGCTATGCACACAGGAAGCCCAGGTTGAATCCCCAGCCTTGCATGGTCCCATTCCAAAGCATTTGTCTATGTGGCCCCTAAATCAAAACAACAACAAAATAAAATGAATATGTTATAATACAGTATGTATTATAATAATACAGTAATAATCAATACAGTCTGTTTCCATTTCTATGTGGGTCCAGAATGTGTATTCGAGTGAGGAGTCTGGCAGCCTTCTGTTGGGTTACTCACAAGCACGAGACAGAAGAGAGTTCCCTAGATCTTGAGAAGAGGGCGATCACACACCTGAAGTATCAGGCACGGGCTTACCTCCAAATATGCATGTCAGTATGTCCTATTACACAGTACATCATATTTCCATGTAAAGAGAAGATAAAGCAGAAACTAAGGGGATTTCAAAGTCGCATATTTTTTATTCCTTGGTTATGAATACTTGCACTTTCCCGGAGGCAGCTTCTTTTTGGAGATGTCGGTAAAGGTGGCATAAATGTTTGCACTGACCTAAAAGCATCAGCCTTGGATTTTCCTGGGGAGAATTACAAAGCACCTTGAATCTCAAGGCATTTATTCTGCATTTGGCCATGATCATTGCTCAGAGCTAGTGAATTTAGTCGATGAGATCTGGTGTTTCGGCACTGGGGGTGTTGAGGGGTCCATAGGGAAAGGGGAGAGGAGAAAGGGTCTTGGTTATGTATGGGCTGAGAAGGTTGCGGGCTTCGTGGCTGATAATTGCCCAAGGCGAGCTCAGGGGTCAGAGATCAGGGCCGGACTGATGAAGCCAGCTTGTGGGTGGGCGGAAACAGCCACTGTCACGAGACTGTGAGACTCTGCATATTATTAGCTCTGTGGCTTCGGGCACTTGAGAGCAAAGTCTGGGACAAAATCGCAAAAGTAAACGCCAATTGTTCTCATCTCTCTCATCTCCTCTCAGATCCTTGCAGCCTCAGCATCCGGGAGGATTGTGATTTGGGACATAGTGGTACAGGCATGAGGCCGTTGGAGTGAACAATTGCACTAGACCCAAGAGGACCACCTTAGGTGGGGCCCAGAGGAAGGAAACAAACATCACGACACAACACAGGAATGACTGCATATTTTTTTTTTGCCAACTCCCAAGAAAGCATTCTTTCTGGCTGTTCAGGGATGCTTGGCAGTTTTTCATGAGGACTGGGCCTGAGGTCTGTCAGTCATTCTGGTGGGCCTCAACCGCTGTAATTTGTACATAAGATGTTCCAGTGAACATCCAAAAGAGCAACCGGTGTTGGCGCGGATGCAGGCAGAAAGGGCCTCTCATTCATTGTTGGTAGGAGTGCCGTCTGGTCCAGCCATTTTGGAAAACAATAGGGGCATTCCTCAGAAAACTAGAAATGAAGCTCTCATTTGACCCAGCAATACCATTTTTTGGAATAAACCCTGGGGACCCAAAAACACACAACAGAAATGCCAGATGCACTTCGTTGTTCATTGCAGCACTATTCACAATAGCCAGAATCTCGAAACAACCTGAGTGACTGAGAACAGAAGACTGGATAAAAAACAAGCTATCGTACATTTACAATATGCACTTGCTAGAAAAATGAAGTCATGAAATTTGCGTATACGTAGATGGACATGGGGAGTATTATGCTGAGTAAAATAAGTCAGAAGGAGAGAGACATATAAAATGACTGCATTCATTTGTGGGATATGAAAAATAGTATGAGACTAATATTCAAGGCCAGATAAAACAGGGGCAGGAAGTCTTGTCAACGGTTGGAAGCTAGCCACATATGTCTGGGGCGGGTGGCAAAGGGAAGTTAGGATAGAGAATGGACTATTATGACAACAAGTCCAATATAACATGATGATAATAGTTGGAAATGATAATTTTGGACAGCAACATTGTATTGAAAGTAAGTAAAGGGATATACCTGATAATGTTTCATTCTCTGTATTGCAAACCATAAGGCCCAAAGAGAGAGAGAGAGAAAGAGAGAGAGAAAATGCCTGTCATAGAGGCAGGAGGGGGGGCATTGGTGGTGGGAAATACACACTGGTGAATAGACGGGTGTTGGAACATTGCATGACTGAGAACCAATCATGAAGAATTTTGTAATTGTGTATATCACTGTGATTAAAAAATTGTTTAAAGTTCCGATGGCTTCATTTTAAGCTCCTGTTCTGGCTGTACTTGAACGCAGCCCCCCACAAAAGACACTTTTTGGTGTGGCTGTATATGTGTGATGTGTTCCATGTATGGATTTCCTAACAAAATTGGTGCCCTGCCATATAGCTTGAGCCCACTTTTATCTGGCGGGGACCGGTTTATGAGGGGCATCTTCCTGGGATTTAGGGACTGTATTCTGAGGTCAGGGGTCTTGCTCATCGGCCCCACAACCATGCTTCTCACCTCTGACAACTCCCTCTTGGGCTCTTCTCAGACTTGTTTTCCGCCAGGTCAAGGCAAGCTGGAGAGCTCATTATATTCAGAAGCCCTTCCCACCCCCACCCCAACTCCATCATAGATATGGAAGTGGCCCCTAAATCTTCTGACCTCCCCCCTCCCACACCCAACATTTTTGTGCCCACCCCACAACCCCCACACCAACACTTCTGGCGGAGGAAGTGAACTGATCACACATCAAAGCCACAAAAGCATTTTTATTTATTATTACAGCAAATACAGAATAAAATTAAGGCAGTATAATACATCTCCAGTTATCTTTCCAAACTTTTGTACAGTAAACTTTGTTGCGAGTGTCAATTTGAATCAAGAACTGAAGTTTTTCTTAAACAATGTTTTTGTAACTTCTAGAGAAAGATCATTTCCAGGGCTGTCAAGTTTTGCTGACACAAGATGTCTGTGACTTAACTGAGTCTCAACCAAGGGTGTGTGGCTGGATGGTGCATCTCTCCCCCCACCCCTAATCTCCCTCCTGAGCTGGGAGGCACAGAGAAGTAGGAAAGACGTTTAGAACAACCTTAACTTACAACCTCTCTGGCAGTACAAGGCATTTTTTTCCTGGTGTCCACTCATCATCTGGAACCCCCTTTAAAAAAAAAAGATTTGGTGCAAAGTTCTGGCCATATATTTTTCATGTCTGAGGTAAAGAGGGGATATGTACTGTGTTGTTAATGGTATCACTGGAATTGACCTTGGGAACCAAAAGTGTGGATTTTAGAAGAAGGAATTCTCTTAGTGATTGAATTTGCTTCTCTGTAACTAAATGAAAGGAAAGTCAGGCAAATTCTTTCCAAAGTAGGTTGCTGCCAATAAAGTGAATCCACGTCACCATGTGCAATTAGGTCTGACTCTAAGAAAGCAGCACCTGCGTCTGAAGTTTCAAAAAAATAAAAACAATACCGTGTGTCCATAACTCCCCTTTTGCCGATCTGAGAGGCATACAACTTTATTTTAATTCAAGCTGACCAGTTTGCTTTCTTCACATATGGGTCATATTTTGTTGCTGAAATTGAGAAGAGAATGTGTTTCCAAGTACAAATGTTCAATCACAACTGTCTTTCAGACTGCCCTTAAAAAGTACAACAGAGAAACACACAGTTACAGAAGCACTGCAGGAACGAGCACTTGACAGGAGCCTTCATTACAGCGAGGTCCTCCCCACCCCTAGAGAGAAGAAAGGAGAACTGGGAGGAGGGGATGGAGAACGGGTGAGAGGGAGTGGGGAAAATTGAGAGTCCAACAACAGGTTTAGGATCACTGTCAACCACAGGCGGATAAAGAGGCTCAAGATAACAACTGTCGAACAGAAGGGGAGTTGGTTGTCTGCACACTCTGTGGAACTACATGATGTAAAGGAGATGGAGGCCTGGAGTCTACATAGAGTTAACACCAGGTCTAAAGGTCGGTATTTACCTGTGTGGGGGTGCGGAAAGGTGCCTTATTTCAGATTACAAAGCAGAAGGCAGGTCACTGCCAGCCCTCAAGGCATTTTCACACAGCCACTTCTTCCTCAGAAACGTTTTCCATATTAAGAACCACCGTCCCCTCGGGGTCACTGACAGACGAGATGACCACAGTGGGGATAGTAAAAGCCACCGGACGCCTGGGGGATTTGGGCTTCGGGCTGCAGGCCGGCTCAGAGAGCTTGGGGACATCATACCCCAGGCGTCTGGTGCGGGCAGGGGCACATCTGAGGGTCGAAGGGCTCCGATAGCCGAAGGTAGGGGTCTCCTGCTCCTTGGCAGGAGGCTTGATGTGGATCCTGGTGGTGGACTTCCTGCGGCCAGCGGCAGAGGTGAAGGCGGCCCTGGACTGACTGCCAGCAGGAACCTGGCGGCCGGTGACAACCTTGGGGTGGCTAGAGGCAGACTTAAAACGGACAGAGTCACCCCTGAAGTGGACGGAGGCGGCCCTGGGATAAACAGGGCTGGGTTTGGGGTGAACAGAGACAGACTTGGGATGGCCAGAGACAGACTTACGGAGGACAGAGGTAGGCTGAGACAGTGGCGAGGCTGGCTCAGAGTGGACAGGGCTACCCTCAAATTGGCCAGCTGCAATGTCACCAGGTAGGGGCACATTCCGGACTCGCAGTGGTATTTCTTCCACAGCAGGAGAGACACGGCCACGCTCTCGTTCACGGGCAAGGTCACGGGCACGGGCACGGGCGCGGTCGCGGGCGCGGACACGGGCACGGGTCAGGGCACGGGACTCCCACCTCTCACGGAGATCAGTGATGAGGCCAGAGAAGAACAGGATGGGGTGGCGAATGACGTAGAAGAAGGCCCAGTACTCTCTTCGGAAGCTCTCATTTAGGATCCCGAAGACCACAGCATTGAGGCAGCTGTTGAAGTAGGCTAGGAAGTACAGTGCGAGATAAAGCCAGTGGGGGATCTTGTTTGCAGAATCCTTTGGAAGGAGAGCCGCCAAGATGGTGAGCAAATTGACAGGGCCCCAGCACACTACAAAAAGAATGAAGATCACAAACATGGTTATAAAATTGCGAGTCTCAGCAAACTGGTTGTCAGGATCCTGCCCGGGGTTTTGATGGGCCTTCATCACTCTGTTCCAGATCTTCGCGTAGCAGCACCCCACGATGGACAGAGGGAGAATGAAGTGCATGAAGACGATGGTCAGCGAGAAGGCAGTGTTGTGCAGGTAGTTGAAGAGGCAGGTGTAGGTGCGCGGGTCGTAGTAGATGGTGCCAATGTACATGTTGGGCAGGATGGCGAGGACGGCCACGACCCAGGTGATGACCAGGAAGATGACGGTGTTGCGCTTGCTGAAGATCCTCTCGTACTGGAGACTCTGGCAGATGTAGCAGTAGCGGTTGATGGCGATCCCCAGGATGTTAAAGACTGAGCCCACCACACTCAGTCCGGTGATGAACCCCATCAGCTGGCACTGGAACTGGCTCAGATTCCAGTCCCCGATGGTCATGGCATGCAGCATCAGCGGGTAAGGGTAAATGGCCACCAGCATATCAGCCACTGAGAGGCTAACCACGAAGATGTTGGCTGCAAAACACAGTGGGGAGGCGGGGGAGAAGGGGAGAGAGACAGAGAAAAAAGAAAGGGTTATGCAGTTCCTGAGAGGTGAGCACGGAAGGGGGTGGACCGGTGAGCTGGAGTCCAGTCGGGTGAAGTGGAGTCAGGTTACAGAACCGCCATTTGGGTGGGGACTTCTAGTGACAAGTGCTTCCCTGGTAAGGCTGGTGCACAAGCCTCTTTGCAGCACCTGTCATTTGCCACCTTGTTTTTCCCCCTTTCTTCAAACTACCGGTTCTCTGCTTTGGAAAAGAAGCAGAACTGCTTGAACTAATTCCGGCCCCCACTTTGTCTTTCCTTTCTCTCTCAAAGAAACAGAAGACAAAGTTGGCCCCCAAGGGGACCTGGGCCAGGGGAGCTTGATCCTAGGCAGTAGGGTAAGGGGGTGGAAGCCGGGAGAAATAAAGGAAACCTAAGACCAGACCCCTCCCCCCCAAAATAATAATGAGCAAGCGGTGCTCTGCCGGCACTAGGGGCCAGGGTAGAACGGCGAGTGAGCGAGCGAACGCTTGCGGCTCACTGCTGCCAGCCTCTCTCCTGGGAATCAGGGCAGCGTTTCAGCCCTTGCAAGGTCAGAAATGATGGTCATCCACCATTTCCTAGGCAACCGAGGAGTGGAAACCGATGAGATCGACGTGTGGGGGGAAGGGTCTTGTAAAATTTAGTCTGAGACCCAAGAGACTGAGGGCTGAGGGGGGGAAACATCGCAGCCAGGGTGCGCCCAAGTGCCGCGCTTGGAGAAGTCCCTGTCTGGGGCTCTCTGGCAGAGGCACCGAACTTTGCCCCGGGGCCGGTGGGCTGCGTTGGGCGGTGAAGGGAGTATGCCTGCCGTCTCTCCCGTCGGGCAGGAGGGCTATAGGAAGGTATCCATTAGACCTTTCCCAAGGAAGAAAACAGAAGGGAAGGGGTCACGTGCGGGAGCGGGCCCGTGCGTCTGAGAAGGCTAAGTGGCTAATTAGCACTGCTTTGTCAAAATATGCTACTCAGCACCGCTCTGTCAAAATATTCTCCTTGTGGACTGGGAGAAAGCCAGCGCATTTCTGCAAAGCTAGGGACACCTCCAGCCGCCTCCTCCTGCGCGCTGTTCCCACCGTGGAGGGTCTTTTACAGGGCTCGTCCTCCTGGTCATGAATGTGGAGAAGGGAAGGGGAGTAAAAGTGAAGTCAGAGCTGTAGCAAAACACATACGACCACCAGGAAAAACACCTTTATTCGGATCCAGGAAGAAAGAGTGGAGGAGAGAGGAGGGCAGAGAAGAAGGGAAGGAAAGAGCGAGCGGCCGGGTTTGCAGGTGGCGACGGGGGCAGCGAGGCACAGCACCTTGGCCACCACTGCAGGGGCGAAGATGGTGCCTCCCCGTGTGCCCGACCCCCGAGAGGGCTCCCCATGCCCGGGGAGAAACCAGACACACCACGGGTGCTGAGAAGGAAACTTGGCAAAAATACGTGCTCAGTCGTGAGTTTTCAAACTTCCGTGGTGTTTGCGAGGCCCCGCTGGAGTCCCTGAAACTGCATCTCAGCTCGTCCCTGCGCCCCGCGGCCCCGCCCGGGTTCTCCGCATCTCCCCATCCCCGCCCGGAGCCGCCTTCCCGCGCGCCATCTCCACCTCCGGGACCCGGGATCAGGGACCCTAAGCCCCCCTTTTCCTCCCCCATCAGCGCGCTCTCCAGGCCAGGCTGGAAAGACAGATGCCGCCCCCCACAGCCCCGCGCAAGTCACGGAGACCCCTATATACGCCCGCTGCGACCCTCCCCTACACCCCCTCCTCTCCCAGTCAGAGCGCTCCTGGCTGGCCGGCAAGTGGGGGTCCGTGGCACTGCCCGGTCCGCTGCGTCCGCTCCAGTAGGCTGCCGCGACCCCTCCCCGAGCGCCTCCTTCTCTCCCCGCCAGGGCGCTCTCTGGCCAGCCTGCAAGTGGGGGTGCGCGGCTGTGACCAGTTCACCGCTCCCCAAGGCCCCCTGCAAGTCGCGGAGACCCCTACATTCGCCTGCGCGGCGATCCCCTCTGCTAGCACCCCCCTTCTCTCCCGGCCAGGGCGCTCTCTAAGCAGCCTGCAAATAGGGGTGCACGGCTGTGTCCTGTCTGCCGCGCAAGTCGCAGAGACCCCTTTCCTCTGTGCTGCGACCCGTCCCCAGCGCCCGCGTCCAGCGCTGTCAGGGCGCTCTCTGGCCAGCCCGCAGATGGGGGTCCGCGGCTTCCTGAAGCCCCGCAGGAGTCGCGGAGACCCCGCCGGTCGCCAGGGCTGCGACCCCCCTCCCCGGCGTCCCCCTTCTCTTCCCGCCAGAGCGCTGTCTGCTAGCCCGCACACGGGGGTCCGCGGCGCCGCTGTGCTCCGTGTGCCGCCCCCCCCAAGCCCCGCACGAGTCGCGGAGACCCCTATCCTCTGCGCTGCGACCCCCTCCCCGGCACCCCCTTCTCTTCCCGCCAAGGCGCTGTCTGGCCAGCCTGCAAACGGGGATGCGCGGCTGCGCTCCGTCTGCCCCCACCCCCAAAGCTCCGCGCGAGCCGCGGAGACCCCTCCGGTCGCCTGCGCTGTGATCCCATCCCCCGGCACCCCCTTTTCTCGCGCCCAGTCGCAAAGTGCCCCCCGAAAGCCCGCGCCGGTCGCCGACCCCGCTCCCCGCTTCCGCGACTGCGGCCTGGGCGTCTCTCCCGCCGGCCCGGCCGGTCCCTGGCGGTGTCCCCGCACCCCTCCGTGCTGTCGCGGCCCCGCGCACCCCGACTCCCCGCTTACGGACTTTGGGCTTCGCGGTCGTCGCCGCCGCCGCCGCCGCCGCCTTCGCCGCCGCCTCTCGCTGCCGGTGCCCTGCGCCCCGCGACGGCCGCGGCCAGGGGGGCTCTGGCGGGCTCAGACCACCCCGCTCGCACTCGGCCCGGGGGTCTGCGCGCCGCCGAGAGCCGCCGGGGGCCGCCGGGAGCCGCCCCTGAGACGCCTCGGAGCCGCCCCGGAGCCGCCCGGGAGCACTGGGCGCGGAGAACCGAGACCGGGGGTCCCGGCGCGGCTGCCGCGCGGCGCCGGGGGCCGGAGCGAACTTAACTTTCCCGGCCCAGGTCCCGGGCCGCCGGCGTCGGGATGCGCGTGCTGTCCGCGGTGCTGGCCGCCGTCTCCGCTGCCGCGCCGGCTTCCTCGGCGTCCGTTCCGGGTCCCGGCGCTCGGCCGCGCCCCGCAGGCACCTGCGCGGGGCGCTGGGAGCCGGGAGCCGATGCCCTGCGCTCCCGCAGCCTCGAGGGGTTCTGAGTAGACGGGCAGCCGCCAGACCTCCCCTCCCGGGTGCGTGCGGGGATTCGAGGGCGCGGAGCGCGGAGCTGAGGGCACTTCCCGGCTTGGGGCGCCCACCCCAGGGCCGGCGAGAGGCTCTCGACCGGGGAAGGGAAGGGAAGGGCGGCTTACCAGAATTTTGGAGCTTCTTGTTCCTGGACACGGCCCAGATGACCATGGAGTTGCCAGTGAGGTCGGCCACAACGGTCACCACCATCACGCAGTACATTAGCACGATGACGGCCGGAGGGTAGCTCGGCAGAGGCAGTTGGCAGCCAATACACCCAAACGGGGTAGGCACAGCCATGGTAGGCGCCATCGTGCGCCCGGAGTCCATTATGGTCCCCCAGCTGGCCAAGACAGCGAACACCTGCTCTGCCACCGGGAGCTGCAGAAAAGCGTGGCTTCCCCTACGAGAGCCAGAGAGCAAATGACAGATTCCCGCCCCTTTCCGGTGAGCTTTTAAAGCCGAGGAAAGGGGCTTGCCACGCCCCAAACCCGGCCCCCCGACCAATCAAAGGTCTCCTCACACTCACCCCCACCTCGATGGGCAACCCATCCTGGACAAATCAACAGCCAGAGAAGTGTCATATGGCTTCCACCACCACGTCTGTGCCTCCCCTAGCCCCCACCTTCAGGTACTCCAAGTTCTGACGCCTACTCTGAGTCCTCATCCCCCCTCCCGTCACCGGCGCTGGCGCATCAGCTTCCAGCCGACAACTCTGCTCGCTCCTTCTAGGCAAGCGCCCTGGCAAAGCACTGTAGAACTCAGAGAAGCGCAGGAAAGGCTTGCAGTGCTTCTTGGGGCTCAGGGTCCACGCAAACCAGTCTGAAACCACTACGAAGCATAATTTGACGGGCAGCTCGGCCCCTGACACTTCAATCCATTTTTTCCTGAGGTGTCTTTAAAAAGTTCATCCCTTCGCCCCTGCAGGTGCCTATTCCAAGCTTTTTGCTCCGCGAGGAGAGCAGGAGACATCTGCAGCAGTGTCCAGCCCGAATGGAAGCCTCAGTCTCTAGTGAACTGTCCCCAGCTCGGTGCCTGCCAGGAGCCACTTGGGGCCCTTCGCGTTAGTGGCGGGAGGTAACCGAGAGGGCCGGGACTTGCGCTCTCCGTGACAAATATGCCCCGATACGCGGGATCAGAGAAGCGGAAGCGAGTCGGCACCTCGGGAGCCCTGGAGGTAGCGTGTGGCCTCCTTCTAGCAACTTTGGGAGTCAAGGAGAGTGGGAGCACCCCTCCTCCGCGACTGAGCACCTGTTTGCCAATTTTGACAGGGGAACTGATGAGGGCAAAATAATCATAATGATGATAATAGTACTACTAATAATAAAAATAACCCTCCTTTGGACTTGTCGCTCCGGTGTGAGGGCTTTTCTGCACGCGCGCTTCAGGAGTATCGCGGGCCACCGGGCAGGCTCCGGCGTCACTGCGGCAGCCGGCAGAGCATCTGAGAAGGCAGACTGTCTCGGGAAGGGTTCTTGGCTTGGGGCCCTTTTCCTTGGCCACCCCTGCCCGCCTTCTCACAGCATCGCTCCCTGGCAGCTCCATCCCCTGGTCTTGGCTGTTCCCTCCCAGGCATCCAGGCTCACCCGCCCGGGAACCGGGAAAGCGGCCGGCCAACCTCACTCACGGCGGGAAGGTTCTCCCACTCGACTCCTCCAAGCTCCCGCTCAGAGGAGTGGATTTCTCCCTTCTTTTCGAAGTTATGGGTCTTGTGGAGACGCCTCCCGGAGAAATTCAGTGAACACCTTGAAACTTCTCCCTCCCAGACCACCTTCGTCCTGCGTAGGGGAAGGAGGGTCTGCGCTGTCTGGGAGCGCCAACGCCTGGATACAGCTCCCCTTCCTGCTCCTCGAGGTGGGGTCTGGGGACGCCTCGAGGGACTTCAACATCCTAGGGCCTTTCATGGAAAGACACAGACACCCCTGACAAGTAAGTGTTGCACGCACTTACTCGAGCTGAAAAACCCAAATAGAAATGTGTCCCCGGGTCTGACGATAACCACCCCCACGCCCTCGCCCCCTCAACTAGCACCCTTCCAGCCCTCACTAGAAAGAAAGAAATCCAAGCGCATAATAATAGCCCTCCAGAAGCCTTTTCATGTTCATTATCTACCTGCTGCCGGCATCATCTACATGCTGCACGTTCTCCCGGCCCCCGCCCGCCCCCCCCCAGTTTAGATTGATCCCTGAACGCGCAGTCCTCGAACCCCCTCTGTATCTGCCTCAAGCAGTGGAGACCACCCCTAGAAGGCAGCAGTCTAGAGCTCCTCTACCCCACGGAGTAGTTCATGCACATCAGGGTGGAGCCTTCATCTTGAGGTTTCCCCTAATTCCCTGAAGGTTGGGGGACCTCTCATTGCGCCAAGGAACGGTTTGGAAATCAATTAGGAACAAGTGTGAAGAACAAAAAAAGAATTAAGCATTTTCGCGACGTTGAACACTGGGTCTCTCTCCCCTGCCCGCTCCCTAATCATCCTGTCTCCTGAGAATGGTCATCCTCCGCCTGTCCTCTGAGATGAGGTGGCTGCTGAGTTGGGCTGAAGAGTGAGCAGGAGAGATAACTCGCTGAGCCCCCAGAGTGTGACCCGGTGAGCCTTGGAGTTTTCGGTACTAGACAAGTAAGAGGGGAAGCTGTGCTCACCCGTGGTGAGGCTTTGCATCTGCTAAAATTCATTTTCCTACTTTTGAGATCTTAAAGATGTTCATCACGGTCCCATCAAAAACAACTGATGGATATGAAGTCAAGTTATTTGGACACCCAGGCGGGTGAAAACCAGTCTGAGTTTGCAAGAGTAGGGCAAACCTTTCACTCAGTAAATTCAGTTCCTTAGGAATCATTAGTGAGGGGGGAGGTTTCTGTACTAGTAGACTTGGCTTCCATAAAACTCCAGGGCTAAAAGAGCAGCCCCCAAGCAGAGGCGATACCCTGGCCCCTTCTGTGTGGAGGACAAGTAGGAAAGTACCCTTCTCCTGCTCTTGATACAGAAACCATTGATCTCAGGCTCGCCGTTTCTTTTCAGAAAAACTTAATATCAGGGTTCTTCGGAATGGCAGGTGGCAGCTAGCAATTCAGCCTTTTCCTGAAAGGTGAGAGTTTTTGCTCTGAGAAAGGTAGGGTTTTTCACTGCACACACGAGGTGAGTGCCTACATCTTCAGAGTTCTGATTATGACAACAATAGTGGAAGGTCAGTTAGCTTTTATCATACCTCAAAGATTCTCTGTGCCACCTGAAAAAAATATTGTAATAATCTCGAGTCTGGAATTGGTGCCTTGCCGTTTTAAATAAACATTTGATGGTTTTCCAAATATCACCTGGGAGATGTTTTCTCACAACAATTCCTTTTAGTTTTTTGTTTTGCTTTTGCTTCGTAGTCACCTTGGATTCCAACGTTATTCATGGTTGGGTTTCAAGAATACAATGTGTCAACAACAATCCCTTCCCCACTGGACCAGTTCCTCCACCAATGCTCCCAGTTTTCCTCCTGCTACCAGCATGCCTCTCTCTATGACAGGTGCTTTGTAAATTCGACGTGCTGTGTCTTTCAGTACTGCTACCTCTAGGGATGCAAGCTAAACACTCTACCACATTTCAGCACCTCCTCCTCCTGAGAAGGCTTCCCTCCCCCACTGGCCTAGTATTCTCCTCCCCCCTACCCCTGTATTCCTCCTATCATCCCCCCAACTTCCTACTGAAGACCAGTTCTCACTTTCTTTGTTTCCATTGCCTCTGGTGTTTCTTACTCCCCTACTATGTTCCTTTGTACCCCCACTCCACTCCACCCCCCACCCTGCTCCCCTCCAAATACGAGGGAGATCATTCTGCCTCTGTCCGCTCCCTCTGTCTGACTAGCTCCACTCAACACAATACTCTCAAGATCTGTCCACATAGCAGCAAATTGCATGGTTTCATCTCTTCGTATGACCAAGTAATATTCCATTGTGTATATGAACCAAAATTTATTTATGTAGTTCTCTGTTCTTGGACATTTGGACACTTTTCCAGATTTTAGCTATTGTGCATAGTGCTGCAATGAACGTACGAGTACAAATGCCTTTTCTACACTGTGTTTTTGTGGGCCCTTGTGGAATATTTCAAGAAGTGGAATTGCTGAATCGTAGAGTTCAATTTCTACTTTTTTGAGGAGTGTCCATACTGTTTTCCATAAAAGCTGCACCAGTCAACTTTCCCACCAGCGGTAAATGAGGGTACTTTTATGCCCACATCATCTCCAATACTGCCTTTCTTTGTTCATTTTGATGTGTATTAATCTCTCTGGTGTGAGATACTATCTCATTGTTGCTGTGATTTGCATTTCCCTGATGATTAGTGATGCATACCATTTTTATATGCTTTGTGGCAACTTTTTTGTCTTCTTGGGGGGGGAGGTTCTGTTCGTCTCTCCATTCCATTTTTTATGGGATTGGGGTTTTCTTGTTTGTAAAGTTCTACTAGTGCTTTATATTGAATATTTGGTCTATATGAGATGAGAGGGGGCAAATATTTCCTCAGTCTGTCAGGTATCTTTGTATTTTTGGTCATTATTTCTTTTGATATGCAGAAGCTTCTTGACTAATGTAGCCCCATTTATAGATCTTTGCTTTCTCAGCCAATGGATTTGACTCCTGAAAGATGCCTTTAACTACAATGTCATGGAGAGTTCTGTCTACATTTTCCTCAATGTAACTTATGGATTCAGGTCTGATATCAAGGTCTTTAACCCGTTTTGATTGGACTTTTGTGTATGGTGTTAAAAATGGGTCTGTGTTTATTTTTTTATATGTGGCTGACCAGGTTTCCCAGCACCACTTGTTGAAGAGGCTTTCCTTGATCAACTGCATACTTTTTGTTCCTTTATCAAAGAGAAACTGTCCGGAGAGCTGAGGATCTATCTCAGGATTGTCAGTTTTATTCCATTGATATGAGAGTCTGTCCTTATTGAAGTACAATGCTGTTTTTGTAATTCAAAGATTGTTGATTTTTTATTGTGATTCTGTGGTTTACAATGCTATTGATAATGGTTACTCATGCACATAATTTCAGCACCACATCCATCAACAGTGTACCCTTTCCCTCTCCTGAGGAGCCCAACACCACTCTCTACTACTACCAAAGTGCACAACTACAGATGAATGGATCTTTCCGTTGGAATACTATGCACTGTACAAAAGGAAAACCAATGTAGTTTGCCAGGAAATTGATAAAACTAGTGAGTACCATTTTGAGAGCAAATGCAAGTTACTGCATAGATTCATAATGATCTCTGTCATGTGTGAAATTCAATGATGTATACTGGAGTAGCAATAACTGTTCAAGGAAAGAAGAATTGAAAAGTTGTTCCACAGTAATGAGTTATCAGGAAAGGTGTTTGAATAGGTGGGAACTTTGGGATCCTGGTGGAGACA